TAATGTCAAAAATATATATATATTATATAATAAAAATTACAACAAGGTATTAGGGAAAAAAATCTATATATAATTACAACAAGGTGCATTAACTTGTGAGTATCTATTTATTTTATGACTTGTGAGTATCCATTTATTGTTGTTTTTTTGTTTCTTACATGTGTCATTTTTAGTTTTCCACATTTGTTATGATTTGTGAGTATCCATTTATTGTTTCACTAAATATCTAATTTGTTCATAAATTCTTGAATATATTCATTCTATTAATTAAAAATTAAAATTTAAACACATATCGAGAAAAAAAAATTATGAGTGTGATGGGATTGCTAGAGCTTAATTGTACATTTTATTAAAAAGATTACTAGTTAATTATAGGAGAACTTATACTCCTTCCGTTTCAAAATATAAGTTGTTTTGAAGATTTTTTTATTTTTCAAAAAGTAAGTTGTTTTGATAATCCTAAGTATTTTTTCAATTTTATTGCCTATTTTGTGATCAATAATATTTTACAGTCGCTTTTTTATTGGTTAAATTATTTTTATTATATATATAAAATGATACTTTTAAAAAGAGTAGTTTCTTAATATTCGTACTTTTAGCCAAAACAACTTATATTTTAAAACGGAGGGAGTATGATATATACTCCAACAATTGACTATTTAAACATATAGCTTGTCTATAAATTTATTAAGTAGATAACCTACTAAATGAGCATAATACCCTCTTTGTTATCTTTGCTGCTTTGTCATAATACCCTCTTTGTTATCTCGACKTGCTATGTCATAATCTTTCATAGTACATCCAATTAAAATAGAGAGAGAATGACACATATACCGAGTTATATTGCTTTATATTGTTCACTCGCACATAATTTTTTTAGATCAACATACTGTATTCAAAATTCATATATATATACACGTATAATTTCATACACAATATAACGTACCATATTAAAATATCAATGACCAAATTTATGATATCGCATTGACTTCTCTTTGTATAATTTGTTATATAGTTTTTAAGTAATTGAAATATATCATATTATATGGTATGTTATCGAGTTTTATAACTGAAATTAATATTAGATCTATAACTAAGATTTATTATTATTGAGTTTGAACATATATTGCTATGTTTATATGTAGTTTTTTGTTAAAATTGTTTGTAGATAATTACAATATCAAAAACTTAATTTATAATATATAACTTATTTATACCATACTAACACACAACATGAAATATACGATATAACATGATTTTTCACTATATAACATAGTATACCATACTAATATATAACATGTTATATGAAATCATACTACACATTACAAGTAGTTTTTTGCTAAAATTGTTTGTAGATAATTACAATATCACAAACCTAATTTATAACATATAACATATTTATAACATACTAACACATAGCATGGAATATACAAAATAACATGATTTTTCACTATAAAAATGGTATACCACACTAATATATAACATGTTATATGATATCAAACTACACAATACCTTGTTAATATAACATGTAATATGAAAAAATGTTATACCATACAAACATATAGTATGCCATATACTGTATTATGTTTTATTGTAACATTATATGAATCATACGAGTAATCTATGTTCGTTTTTAAAATTTGAAATTGCTATATATGCGGGGAAAAATATATTCTTTATATATGTATATACATAATAGAAAGATTTCAATTTAAATTTTAACATTATATCAAACACATATCAAATTTAGATTTTGCCATATATATCATACAAATCTTGTTTTTTTTTTTGAATTTATATATTTGTATTTATCAACATATATCCAAATCTTAGATATATTAATTAATACATATGTAAAAAATTTTTGAGTTCAAACTTT